TTTTTTTTTGCATTTGACTGTCTTATGGTCTGTGCATTCTCTGGATCTATTTGTGTGTCATAAATTTCTGTGAGTTATTGCTCTTTATTTCTTCAAATTGTTCCTTTGTTACTTATCAGTTTGGAAAAGTTTCACCTTTTGCTTTTGTCCCACAATTATGTGATATTTTGTCCCCCCCATATTTAAAATTAAGAAGTTTCCATTGACATATCTTTAAGATCACTAATTGGTTGTAATCAGTTTGCTAAGACCTCATTGAAGGCATTCATTTCATTTATAGGCACTGTTCTACATTTCCTTGTTTGTATGTGTCTTTTTACACTACCCATTTCTTCTAGTGTGTTGTCTAGTTTTTCCAGCAAAGGTATTAGTGTACTGTAGCATGAATCTTAAAGAGTCTTATTAATAAAACAAACCTGGAGCCAAGTATTGGGGTGAACTGGAAGGTCAGAGAGACAGAACAAGCCACAGCTAACCTCACCTAGCCAACTTCTCAGCCAATCTTGTTTACTCAGACTGGAAGCCTCTGTGTCCTCATATCCAAATGGCTCTCAGCTGAACTGTGCTCCAAATCCTGAAAGCTTAACCAGCCAAATGCTTCTAGTTCTTGATCTTCACGCCTTATATACTTTTCTGCTTTCTGCCTCATTCCCTGGGATTAAAGGCTCACTTTCTGTCACCATGCCTGGCTGTTTCCAGTGTGGCCTTGAACTCACAGAGATCCAGAGGGATTTCTGCCTCTTGAATGCTAGGATTAAAGGTGTGAGTGCCACCATTTTCTAGCCTTTGTATCTAGTGGCTGTTCTGTCTCTGACCCCAGATAAGTTTATTAGGGTTCACAATATTTTGGGGAACACAATACCGCCACAGTGTACTGCTTATAGTTGTTTTTAACTCTCAGCTTGATAATTCTAGCATCAATGTCAAGATTGAGTCAGTTCTTATCTTGGTTCTATCTTCAGACTGGATACTTCATGTTTGTTTTCTTCTTGTTCTGTTATGGTGCTTGTTGGCTTTTAGTATGCCTGATAATTTTGTTGTTAAAAGTCCAATATTACATATTGAGGTGGATTGGTTAATAATGAGGCTTTGTATTTCTCTAGATAGGAGGTAGGCAGTTGTATTATTTTTTCAGTGCTCTGTTAAAAACCTTTCAAAAGTAACTTAAGAAAGGAGAGGTTCCCTTTGCTTCACTATTTGAAGGTACAGTACATCTCAGCAAAGGTGTGGATGGACAATGAGAGCAGCTGTAGCCGTGGGAACGGTGCTGTGAGACTGGTCACGTTGTGTCTCTAGTCAGGAAGCAGGAGAGGTAGGAGCTGGCACTCAGCTTGTTTTCTCCTTTTATTCAGTCTGCAACCTTAGCCCATGGAATGTGCTTCCTGTGTTTAGCACAGATGTTCTAACTTCAGTTAAAACTCTCTAGAAACCCCCTCCCCGACACCTTCAGAGGTCTGGTCCTTAGGTGACTCTAAATCTGATCAAGTTCACTATCAAGACAAATTGTCATAGCACAGATCTGTTGGCTACCATTGGGTTGTCTGAGGTGAAGTTTTGGCCTCTTTCCTCTCATATCTTTATGTCCATGGTCATCTTTGAGTTCTTTAAGGGATACAGGTTAGGCATGTCCTTACAGACCAGTGTGGCTCTGCTAAAATAGTTTCCCTTGAAATTATGTCTTATTAAGAAAGTTAGAAAGCTGGAGAATATTTAAAATTTGTGGCGCCTCTTCCCTTGGAGAATCAGAAAGACTTATGTCTAAGTACATGGTGTACAAGGTTTCTTAAGGTAACCCAAGTTTGCCATCCCCACTTTTAGGCCAATTGAGCCTGTTCTTAGCTTTGAACTCCAGACAGAGGCTCTAGAAATGAGCCCCTTAGAGTTTCATAGGTGTTTCTGCTCTGCTCCCGCTGAGTGCAAGGATTCTGCTGGGCCTTTGTCTCAGTAGGTTGGTTCTCCTTTGCTGCCTGTCCTTCTGTCCAGTTCTCAGGGAAGCTGTGTATCCTATGTCCCCAGTCTCTGTTGGAGCCAAGAATGTTGATGGCTTTCAGTTTGTTCAGTATTTTGTTTCCGAGGTCCCAAGTAACTACTTTTGGTTCTTTATGTGCTAGATGGAAACTGGACATCCCATCATTTCTTATTAGAAAGAAGATACAAGTTTAGAGTATGTTTAGTCTCTTAATCCCTTTCTTCCACTGTTAGACATAGTTTCCAGGTAATATTCAAACATCAACAACATTCTAACAGTGCTTCATCTTTTTAAAATGAATCTTTTCATTTTTTTAAACCGCAGACTACAATCCTATGTAATCTGGAAAACAATGAGTGTATCCTGAATGCTTCCTTCCAAATCCTTGATTGAGCAAGTAGAAAAGATGTTTTCAAACTGGAAATGTTTCTCTCTGCCCAACAATGTAGAGGGAATGGACACAGAGGAAAACTCATTTCTCATCTTAAAATATCCTTAATATTCAAAGAGGGCTGAAGCTCCATCACAGTGTCCCAGGACTGACTGATGTAACAGACAGGAATAGTGTTAGACTAGTGTGTTAGATATTGGTACTCCATCATGTTCAGGGGCATTGTGCTGGGAAACTGTGTCCTTAAATAGTTGCCATGTGGTCTGTTTCGGAGAGGGCACCTAGAGTAGAGTCTGTTCTTCCTATACTTCTGAAGACAGGAGGTAGTGAGCAAAGGAAAGTGGGCAAACGAGGTAGTGTATTAGGGTTTTCTAGAGGGTTAGAGCCGGTAGAATGAATGTGTGTATGACGGAGGACTTATTGGACTGCCTTATAGGATAACAACAGTGGAACAGCAGAGAATCGGGGAGGTGTTCACTTCTCAACGACGGATGCTTCGGTCAACGACGTCAGTCTCAATCAGGTGCTGGAGTCATGGAGGATTCCTGGAGAGCTGGTGGTCTTCAGTTACATTGTCATTCTGAAGACAATGTATTTAATATTGACCACAGCAACAGGATAGACAAACGTGCCAGCAAGAGTGAGGGAAAGTGGGCATAAAGCAGTTTCCTTCTTCCATAGCCTTTTATGTGTGCTGCCAGAGAGTATGGAGAAAATCCCTCATAGAGGTTGCTAGCAGCTTGGGTTTTAGTTGATTTCACATGGAATCAAGCTGACAACCAAAACTGTCCATCACAGGCAGTATTTCTCTCTTAGTGGATACATGGTTTTATTATGTGGTTTGATATAGTATAAGTTCCAGAGTAGACACTTGTCTTATAGGCCAAATATAAGCAAATTTAGAATATTTGAATTATAATATCAAAATAAGAATTATTTCTGGTTCTATAGTTTATACTGATATAAGGTTTAATTATCAAAAATCTTTTCTCAAATTATGTCTCAGATATTTGCATGCAGATTTAATTTATTTTGTTGTCCCTTTATGTATAACAATACACTAAAGATTTCAGGAGTGTCAAGCCAGTAATTTTAGTTAATCTCATATAAGTCATTTCTCTTGAAGTGATAGGCCACTGTTATATTGCTTCATATATGCTTTTAAGTCTGAATTTACATGTTTTTGATGTTCTTTAGAGTGTATATTGTCACTGTCTTCCAGTGAAATTATAGGGAACATAGTATTAGCTATCATGTTAAGTATAGAGATATTATTAGACTAGTAACTAGATAGTTTAGTTTAATGTGTTATAGGTTTTGAAATGACTGTTACCAGTCGTTTTTTCACATCTATGGAACTATTTCTGAGATAAAATGAATGTATGTACGTACATAAGACTTTTAACTTCGTTAAAGAAAGTGGGCTAAAGAATCTGTTTTAGATTAATGACACCAAAGCAATCAACATCTTAATGTTATTTAAAAAAACTCATTTTGTTTCACAAAAATTGACATAGGTTGCCACTGAAATTAGTATGTGAGATATTTTGACTACAGTAATTACAGATGTCTTCAGGAGGAGAAAGAAACACTCTTAGAATGACCATTCAAACTGCCTATTAACTATTTGCTCCTATTCCAGGCCTACCTATCCTTGCTTATTGCCTACCAAATAAATCATATATTTCATATTGCTGCTCTAACAAATTACCATTAGTTTCATGGCTAGAAGCAATACAAATTTGTTATCCTGTAATTCTGTGGGTCAGAAGTCCAGTAGGAGCTGTACCAGAGTGAAATGAAGGGAAGGATAGTCAGTTTTAGGCTGCAAAGAATTGATGTCCTGATTTGTGTTATTGGCATAGATGACACTGAACTCTCGTGTTGGTGTTGGCTGCCAACTACAGGTCCTCAGAGGACAGAGCTCTTGGCCTGTGCTCTTCTTAACTTTCCAACCCAGCCAGTCCAGTTGAGTCCTTCCTACCTGTCATGTATGCATCACATCATACTTCTTTAACTTTCCACTTTTAAGAACACAAATGATTGGATTTGACCCACCTCGTTAATCCCAGTAAATCTTTTTCTCAAGGTCCTTAACAACAATCATATGTGCAGGTCTGTTACCATGTAACCTAGCACATGCAAATGTTCAGGAGTTGGGATTTAGACATCTTTGAAGAGACCATGTTTCTTGACTCTTATAAACACAGTATTGATTGGATTGATTTTCCTTTTCTGCTCATAATACTTGTCATATACTTTTCTTTCTTGCTCAAATGGGTGTGAAGATTCCAATCCCTTGAGAAATTACGTTAGATATAACACCTATGGAGAAATTGTAGGAGGAACAGTTTCTAAAAACACTTCAAAGCTTCAGAATATTCATTTCCCAAGGAGAAAGTCTTACGTGTTTTCTGTGAATTTGTAAAACTCATTCTAATCCTCCATAGCCATCCACATAGCAGCAGAAAGTAGCACATTCCACTGCTTAGGAAGAGTCTGTATGATACCAGAACTTTCAAAGGAGAAAATTTGAAGAGATAATTACTTAGAGCAATAACTTTCAATAGTTTATAAAAACAAATGTATCTTGATAGTGGATAATATTGAATCTTAATATTTTATTTATTTCTTCCTTAGATCATCACAAAATATGTCTATGAGCTCCTGGAAAAGGACTGCAATTTGCAAAAAATCTCTATTCCAGTAAGTTCAATTCTCAAAAATATTTATCCCAAATAAAATGCTTTTTTCCATGTAAAATGGTTTTCAATCTAGGAGAAAATTTTTGTTGTGGGTTAAATGTGCTCCTGTATTGTTGCTGGCAATTCACTGCCTGTAGGTAACCTTACTCTTTTGTACTAGTTCTTGCAAAGTAATGCTGTCAATGTAAACAATGAACAATGATGATTTCCAGTCTGTTTTTAACATGATGACAGAGAGGGTTCTCTTTTACCTTGTCTTCTTCCACCTGAATGTTTTTATTTGTTTCATATAAATCAGTGTGCTTCACATTGTAATAGGCATTCATTAACTCCTTAAGTATTGTTTGATTCTTTGAAACTTCTTTTCATTTAATTTCTATCTCAATTTTATATTTTAATGAGGGTCTTGCCTGCATGTATTTTTGTGTACCACCTGCATTCCTGGTGCCCGCACCGGCCAGAAGAGAGCATCAGATATCCTGGAGCTGGAGTTTAAACAGTTGTAACTATGTGTAGGTGCTAGGGATCAAACCCTGGCTGTCTGGAACAGCCACCAATGCTGCTCTTACCACTGAGACATCTCTTCAGCCCTTATTTCCACAAAAGTGTTTCTTTTTCTCTGCATTCCCAAAGTCAGTCCTGTTTTTCAATACTGCTTCTTTCTTCTTTATTAGAGGACTGAGGAATTTTGCACCTTTTCTTTTGGAATTACAAAATTTCAAGTTGGGCGGTGGTGGCTCACATCTTTTATCCCAGCACTGGGGAGGTAGAGGCAGGTAGATCTTTGTGAGTTCAAGGCTAGCCTGGTCTAGAGAGCTAGTCCCACGACAAACAGGCCTATACAAAGAAACTGTCTCGAACAACCAAAAGGAAGAAAAAGTTTGGAATCTGTTCTTAGACTCAAATTCTAAATAGAACTTCTATCATTTTTTTGAGTTTATAATCTAATCACAACATTGCTCCCTTCCCTTTCCTCCCTCCAGATACTCCAATATATGCAGACCCTTCTTTCTTTTAAATATATTGCTCCCTTTTCCCTAATTCTTATTGCATGCACATATGTATTTTTAATTTACATCATGAAGTGCTAAGCTTTTAAAATGAAGAAGTGGTAATCTTACATGTAAAATGTTGGTTAGAGTAGATCAGATAAATTTTGCTCTTCCTGACAACTCTTTTATTTTATGATTTAAGAGTCCAGATGACAATAAAATTGACTTATTTAATATATAAACCTTTGCACATAGGTAATTTCTGTGAACTTTCACATAGGATTTTTAGATATCTTGGGTCATGTTATTAGGGAGTTTGAATATATATTAATTGTTTAGATTCTCATCTTTGCATAGTTCTACTAAAAACTTTTTCATTTAATTTTCTAAATATAACTTCTAGTGATCAATAATAATGTTATTCATTCTTTGATTCACTCAACTCAGTAAGTGCTTATTGAAGTTAGCTCTTTAAGTTGTAAACACTCTTGGTGCTTGTAATATAATAATAAAGAAAATATTATTGCATGCCTTAGGTAAGCCATATCTTGTTCTAGTTTGAAACAGCTTCTTTTAGAAAAGCACAGAAGTCTAAATTTTAGCATCTTTGTGACAGGCAGTATGGCTATTCTATGGGGAGTCAGAATTCTTAACTTCAGGCGTACTTTCTTATTCTGTAAAAACTGTACATGGAAGTTGGCTATCGAGGCACACACATTTAGTCCTAGAACTTAGTGGGTAGATGAGTTTGAGGACAGCCTGGTCTTCATATTGAGTTCCAGGCTTGCTGAGGCTACATGGTGAATCTCAAAGTAAGCAAGCAAACAACCTGTATACATTTGTTATTCGTGAAAGTTAAAGTAAAATTGAATCACTTTATTCAGTTTCTGAAGAAGTACATTTAGACAGTGTTAATTTAATCCATTGATACCATTGATATTTTTTCCTTTGACTATAATATTTCTGACTCTTAGGAAACCTTTAATCATACTTTGATCTTTAGATTTAAAGTACAAATCACAATTGTTTTTGTCATTGAGATTGTTTTATAATGGAACTTCATTAATTTTCTATAAAGAAAACATGAAATTAGAGAACTTTGTTTTATAAATTTGAAATTCTCATTTTAAATTTAGTGTACAAACTAAATAAGTTTAGAGAGATTCATGTTATATAAGACATGAAATTAGCACTGTGTTTATTTTTGCTTAATAATTTTCCCTTACTTTGTAAATTAAAAAATGCTGTCTTTCCTAAATGGTCACGTTACATAATGTGTTAGCATTTGGGAAACACGTGATTGACAGTCAGTGTCATGATCATGCTTATGTTCTGCACAAGCATAGGATAATACGCACAGAATGCTCTCACTTGCGCCATCTCCACACCATGTAGGCTGTTAGAGTTGTGTCTTACCTTAATGACTTCTCTATAAAAATTTCATCTTGTTTAAGTGAAATACCACTATTTGTTGTTTAACAATTCCTCAATGAATTGCTAAACATTACAAATTATTCAGTGTAGCCTCACTCGTCTGGGGGCATGAAAATTCACGTGTATTGGAATTGGCTTTTGTGTTTTCTTTTTAAAAAGCTTAGCTCAATTGCTTGCCAGTGTTTTCAGATAAACATCCTTGCTGTAGTCATTTCTAAATTATTGAGATAATGAGGAAAATCTATTTTATTCATGTAGATACTTTGCTATATAGATTAGCACTGACTTATAAAGAGCAAACTGTGTTGATCATGTTCACAGTCAGTTTTCTGTTTTCTGTGGTCAGCTGTGCCCAGTGACTGGCTCACATGTCACTCTTGCCATTCATTACTAGCATTCCTCTGCTTTGTTTGTCTTCGCTGTTGTCTTTCCTACTTGGAATGTCACACGTTTTCAATCAGCTTTCCAACTGCTTAGGTAGTTTATTCATGGTCTCCTTCATCTTTAATCTCATAAAAGTTCTTGAGTTGAATTATAGTTTTTTTTTTCTTTTCAAAAATAATTGTTCCTCTAGTTGTAAAGACATTATGCTGGAATTCAAAGGAGTAATTTTCCATTGCTTAAAATGTTGATTGAGATCTGGGGGTGGTGGTAACTTTTTATTATCCTTGCACATGGAGTTGGAGTCAGGGGGATTAAGAAAAGAGTTCAGGGTTGTCTTCTATTCTGTGGCAAGCTTGAGGCCAGTCTAGTCTACGCAAGACCCTAACTCAGACAAGCATGACAATTGTACTGTTTGGGAACTTGGTTTATTAAGGGCTTCTTTGTGACTGTCAGCTTGGAACTTTCCATTAGATCCTGGTGGGCTCCCCTGGGGGTATACAACTGAAGACAATGGCTGCCTCTCTCCACAGTCCACCAGTATTAAATGGTTCTATAGGTAGGAATGGGATACCATGAGCCTCCACCCCCAGGTACATGATTAATTCACATGTCCAGACTTGTGTAGGATCAGAGGAGACGGCCTCAGCTGTTGTGGGATTATGATTGCCATGGCTGAGTCATTTTCAGAAGATAGTGTTTCACATTTGTCTTCTGGCTCATTTATTCCTGTTCCACCTCTGCAGTGTTTCCTGAAACTTAGATAGGGTGGCACCAATGCTCTGTTTGGGGCTGAGCAATCAGCTGCACTTATTCTCAAACCTAGAGCATCTGTGAGTTTATGCATTCACTGCCATTCATTGCAGAGAGAAGCTTCTCTGATTAAGGTGGAGAATGGTATTTGTCTGAGGGTATAAGTAGTTAGAAGGCAGTAGGAGGCCATGTCAGTATAGCTACACAACAATAGTGAGTGCCTCCCCATCCTCCAAGGCCTCAGACCCTCTCAGCCTCCGGCTTTATGAATTACTGGGCATGAATCTCCTCCTGTGGAGGAGACCCCAGATCCAATCAGAGACTGGTTGGTCATTCCAATAACAGATGTGCCACCATTGCAACGGTGGACATATCTTGCCTAGAAGGTCAGCACTAGAGTTCGTAGGGCTCATATCTGGTTAAGATGGTTGATGCCATTTCCTCTCCAGGAGCTTTCACAGTGCCTTTCAGGATTCTGAAAGCTAGGCAGCAGGGAAGAAGCTTCTGGTTCATTTCTTTCTTGGTCAGTCTATGTTTTGTAATGAGTGTTGTGTCCTGTCTTCAGCGATAGGGCATTATTAATTAGTTCTTGTGGATAATTAAGAGGAATAAATGCAGAAGCCTGTATGGTTTTCAGGGTCTCCAAGGACTTTCCTGACCAATAATTCATAAGGAAGTATTTCACATCTGTCACTGGCAATTTTGTTTAATAACTCTGGGCTTTTATGGACATTATGTGACTATGCAGAGCATCTCCTTCTAGTTCTTTCAAAAATATTATAAACCTTTATACACTAATTAAAATTTATTTCCATATGGGTTTTCATATCCCTTTCACTTTGTTTAATTTTGCTCCCTTACCCTATCATCTCCACCATCCTCCGCCCTTCCCCGCTTAAACATTCCCACCCCGGGATTCTCCCTCTCTGCTTCTTTTTTATCATTTATGTTCTGCTGTCCCTTCCTCCCTTAAGGAATCCCCTGCCCTGGTTGTCCTTGTCTAGTTTTCTTTCTTCTCAGGTGTTTAAAAACATAACCTAAGATTCAGTGCTAGGATCTCCATGTGAGAGAGAACGTGTGGCATGTCCTTCTATGCCTGGGTTGTCTCACTCAGTATATATGTTTTCCAGTTCTGTCCATTTACCTACAAAGGTCATTTTTCTCTAGAGGTGACTAAAATTCCGTTGTGTATACATACCATATTTTAATTATTCTAGACAGATTCCACTTCCTAGCTGTTGTGAATAGTACAGCACTATCATGCTGGGCAAATATCCCACCATGTAGTAGGATATAGAATTTTTTTGACTACATGCCCAAGACTGTTATAGCTTGGTCATATGTTAGTTCTATTTCTAGTTTGTTTTTTTTAACCTCCAGTGTGGCTATACCAGTTTGAATTCCAACTGACAGTGAATAAGTATTGTTGACCACATCCTTTACAGCATTTGTTGACATTTGCTTTCTTAATAATAACCATTCTGACTGGCATGAGATAGAATTGACAGTAGTTTTAATTTGCATGTTCCTGATGGCTATTGATGTTTAACACATTTAAAAATATTTATCAGTCATTTTTAATTATCTTTTTTTGAGAACTCTTTATTTGGATCTGTAGTCCATTTTAAAATTTTATTGTTTTGTTATATTTAGAATTTCTTTAGTTTTTTGTGTATTATACATATTAATACTCTGAATTATTTAAATTCTTTGCATCTAAAGGACATCACCACCAATAGTAAGATTCCATATTTCAAAAATTTGTTCTTTATTTACTGAGTACCTATAAGATGCTAGGCCTTCTTCTAGACTGAGAATGTAGCTGAATATAAATTATAAAATATTACTTCTTAGGATTACATTGTAGTGGAGAGAGCAGAGGATGAATGAGTATACACACACGCACACACGCACGCACGCACGCACGCACGCACATCTATCATCTATTTGCCTGCCTCTCTCTCTCTCTCTCTGAATGAATGCATTGGGTTTGATTGCCATATGTGTTATGAAGCAGAATAAGACAGTGAAAGGGACAAGAGAACTCATGGTGAAATGTTTGAGATGTCAATTGTAGACACGAAAGGCTTTGCTGAGTACTAGTAACTATTCTTAAACTCAACCCATTCTATTCCTACTAAACCAGTTGCTTTTTGTGTTCTGTTTACACAAATAGCAGAATTAGATAATGAGGTCAATATTGTTTTAAAAGTAAAGTAGATTTATTTTTCTATTCCTGTGCATTGTGAATGACTGGGAAAATTTAGATTTTTAAATTTTACATTGAATTCCAACATTTTGTGGAATAGAATGTGTGTGTTGTTCTAACTTTGATAAGTGTATGAACGTATGTTGTTGCTGGAGTGACGAGCTGGTGCAGTATGAGCATGAGATTGATCACTTATGTGTGTGGTTGTGGGTGGAGGACACATTACTAGTGGTCAGTTCTGGTTTCAACCTGGTTGCATATGGCTTCCATTCTGAGTACCGGACATCACTGTGTAGACACTCACAGAGTTTGCTGTACATAGGTCATAAAAGGTTCAGAAATTGGCATTCCTTAATATGTCTTGCATTTCTGAAATCTAGCTGAGCACCTGTTAATGCATTAGTAACTGACACATAGGTAAGCCGTCAGAGCGTGCAGGTCCTGTTGTGGGTGACCATGTATGCAGTCTGAATGTTTACACTGTCTGACTATTGTATTTAAGTAGCTGTGGGTTTTCCGTTTTCTATTATAGGTGCTATATTCTTCAGTTATAGAATTATAGACTACATGCAATATAAGCTATAACGTGTTTGTTTAAATGTAATTTCTTAATTTATTGATGATTATTATGGTAGTGACTCCTCAAATGGATTGTGAGTAAATGTGGGTGAAAAGAACAGTTGGATAATATCTGAACTACAGGAAGCTTTTAAAAATTAGTTATTTCAATTTTAGATGGTAATACAATACTAAGTATATAATAAAATGTATGAATGCATGTTTTAATTATTCTTTTTCATGTGTATTTAAATTACTGTCTTGTGTTGCTTTCCACTGAATATGTGATTGCTAGATGTTCTTGACTATCTTCTAATTTAAGTTTTTTTAATAATTCTGTAATACACATTCAATAATTTATAGTAGCCATAGTTGCTTTCTCATTGTGTGTATGTTCAAGAAACATTTCATTTATTATTTAATTTTTTTTGATTACAGGTAGATGCCACTGAAAGTGAACCAAAGAGTTTTATCTTTATGAGTGAGGATGCTTTGACAAATCCACAGAAACTGATGGTTTTAATTCATGGTAGTGGTGTTGTCAGGGCAGGTCAGTGGGCTAGAAGGCTTATTATTAATGAAGATCTGGACAGTGGCACACAGATACCTTTTATTAAGAGAGCTGTGGATGTAAGTGAAACTTCCTTTGTTTGGGGGGTATTTTATAGTTCTGTTTATTGCATATTATAATTTTATTATGTCTTTTGCATAAATATATTCGACGCATAATCTTATTACTAACTCATTATTTACCTTACTTGTATGATGTTTATTATTTTGTAGTAATGTGGGAAAATATAGGAGTATTGAGCACATAAAGGTTTAAATGTCTTTAAAATGAGTACTTTCTCAGTTTTCTTTGTTTAACTGTATGAACTATGAGTTTAACTATTATATCATATAGTCATCAACAATGAAAATACTTCTGACAGAAAAACAAAACAAAACATGTCTGTAGTTGGAAAGCTTTGCTTAGGGTAAAAATTAAACTAATAAGGGTAGAAATTAAAGGAAACTTGATGATTATGGAGAATCTGGTGAGGAAAAGTAGAATAAGTAAATGTTTTTGGCATTTAAAAAGTATTTTGATGCCCACAAATAAAATGTTTTAAGGTTAAACAAACATATAAGATATCAGAATTTCATATTTCCTAAGTCCAGAGTTGTTCTAATGTTCAGCTATTTGAATGTCTCCTTCTTAAGTTGTACAGTGAGTAGCCAGTTATCACAAAGGATGAGTTTCTTTTACATGTGACGAGAAATAGTCCTCAGAAAAAGTGTCATCTTGTATAAAACATTTAAGGTAGAAAAGGTATGTAGAAATAGTATGTGAGCCCATGTATCCATTTTATTTCTAAAACTGACAATACATTTTATAATTAAAATTGAAACTACATCTTGGATATGCAACTACAAAATCAAACAATAAATATTTAAATGTGTTCAGTTTTCTGTTGCTCTCAATATTATAGTAATAGTTAAGCCAAATCCTAGAGAATATTTTTGTTATAAATTTTACAAGTCCTCAAAATGCCACATATTGAGTTTTTTAATCGTTTATCCACTTGTCACAAATGTGCAAAGCAAAGAAACATGTAACTTTTATTTTGTTGCTAACTTTAATTGTGGTTTTAGTAAAATTGAAGTAACTGCTTATTCAGTTAAGAAATTAGGGCAATTAAATATTCATTTAATAAATTGAAGTGTATACTAAAATAACACAGGAATTAGTGGTTTTTACTGTCTCTCATTTTAGGTTAAAGGTGGTGAACTCTCTGTCCGATGCTTTCACTTGTGGTTATAACACAGTGAGTGTCTGTATGTTTTAGAGAGAACATTATTTCCAAACTGTGTGTACAGTCCAATAAGTATTTGAAGTAGTAGTAGTAAAGGAGTCAAGAGCTCTCCGCAGTGAGTCCTGGGTGAGATGTTTCCTGTGGTTTTCTCACCCTGCTCTAGGTCACCTGCTTTGCCTGTTGTAGAGCATTTGCTGATAGGGTTTTCAGGTAAAAGCAAATGGAGGAAACTGATGTCTCCAGCCAGGTGGTGGTGATGCACACCTTTAATTCCAGCTCTTGGGAGGTAGAGGCAGGTGGATCTCTGTGAGTTAAAGGCCAGCCTGGCCTACATACAGAGAGGGTTCCAGGACAGCCAAGACTACACAAAGAATCCCTGTCTTTAGTGGGGGGAAATGTCTTTGTTTGAATAGCCCATTGATGTGTGCAGTCTTTTTGAATAACATTAGGATAGAAAGTCATCTTTTCCCTTATGTGGGAATAGTGTTTTAAGTATAACAATATACTTCTGCTTTGATTTCTCAACCATAGTAAGTCATGGTTCTTTGAAAAGAAACAACTGATTCTAAATATGGCACGTCTAAGCTCTAGTTTTAGCTAGTTACATTCTCTTTATTTTTAAATATGAAATTTATTGTGTGAATTTCATCATGAATTTCTAAAAATATATATCATTTTCAAATCCAGATACTTTTGCTGCTCTTTGTCTTCACTTGTTCTGCCTGCTCTGGGGATAGGGAGGGATGTATGGCATTTTTAGGGAAGCAGGCAGAGGAAGACCTATGAGGAGGAAGGTGCAGCCCCATTCTTAGCTGTTAAACATGGTAGCTCTGCTTTTATTTCATTATGTACTGAAATTTCACCTCAAGAAAGGTTTCCATAGTATAGAAAAGGTGAACTGTAGTTATTTGGTTTTTCCTGTCTTTTTTCATACAGTTATGAAAGTCAATTTTAATATTTTATAGGAAAGACATTATCATCTCTATGCAATGTGTATCCTTACTAGATTATTTATATATGTTTGGAATTTCTCAATTAGGTCCACGTTCTAAAACTGACAATACATTTTATAATTAAAATTGGAAATACATTTTGGATACACAACTACAAAATCAAACAATAAATATTTGAATGTGTTCAGTTTTCTGGTTGCTCTAATCCTCTCCAGCAGGGAAGCCATATCTAAGCAGTTTATGAAAAATACTATGTTTTAATCTATGGCTCCACTGTGGCCAACGTGGGAGTGTGAAGTTGGTCACCTTATAGTTCTCCAGAATTTCCTGGAATCCATATGTCATGATCAGAAAATGATAGGTGTTCCATCCCTTGCATTTAGAACTCAACTATAAAATATATATTAAGATTTCATTAGGGAGGAATGGTGCCAATCAAATAACTTCCTGTAAGTGCTTATGTGGTCTCCAGGGTTCATGTTTTTAGTGTTTAATAGTGTTTAATTGCATAATACATAATTCAGCTAAGAAAGTTTATCATATATCCACACATCAATGATTCAACATCTATATAATTTGTGAATTACTAAGTTTATTGTTTTTAATTACCTCCCCCCACCCCCTGTCTTTTAAGGTATTTCTGTTTCTGTGTGTATAGGGAAGAAATAAAGTAGTTGACACTTAAATACTAATAGATTTAAAACAAATCATTTTAAGTTTAAGGAGACACCTCACTGACTCCTTACTTTTCCTGCTTTGGCTGATTGAGTTGTACTGTTGAGGAGAGCTGGGTGTGGAGGTCTCTGGAGATTGAGATGGTGAAATATGAGTTCAAGACTAGCCTGGGCTGCACAGTGAGGCCTAGTTTCACAAAAAAACCCAAACTAAACAAACTGTGTTTGGGAAACACTATAGTACAATGGTTTCCAACCTTCCTTATGCTCTGACTCTTTAATACCGTTCCTCTTGTTGTGATGGCCCCAACCATAAAAATCATTTTTGTTGCTACTTTGTAACTGTAATTTTGCTACTGTTATGAATCATAATGTAAATATCTATGTTTTCCACTAGTCTTAGGCGACCCCTGTGAAAGTGTCATTTGACCTCCCCATGAAGGTCTTGACCACCCATAGATTGAGAACCACTGCTTTAAGAGCTATTTATTGATCTATAAAGTAAAAATAGTTCATGTTTTATAATCTTGTTAAAGCGTAAGTTGCTTTGAGCCCTCTGTCTTTTCATCAGAAGGTCGTATTGGGATGTGAGAATTCTGATGATGGGCAGAATGTGTACTGACTGGACACGGAGACCAGATGAATTACCTCCTCCATTAGCATAGCAAGATTTAGGCGCGCTCATGTCACTTATAAAAATACCTTGATCTCTGTATCCAACCAACACACATCCTTCTGTGTGCTTTAAATCACTTCTGGAATACATGCAATCCCTACTACAATGGGAATATTTGTTACACTATATTTTTAGGAAATAATAAGGAAAATGTCTGTCTGGGCATGTTCAATGTAGAGTAAATGTTTTAAAATATATTTTTATCTATGATGAATCAATCCACAGATGAAGAATCCATAAATAAAGCTATTATATATGTTTTACTCATTAGGCATAATTGATGCGATGTACTTGGTGGTGGTAGTATTTGTGGAAGTTGGGATTTGGATGTAATGAAAAATGAGAATTGATAATTTTTTAATTTTTATGTCCTTTATAATAATAGATGTTTTGAATCTCCATTGTCTTCTCAGTAATTTTGTAACATGATGAAGTTTAACCAGATAATCTCCTGGCCTAAGTTCTTCATCTGAGAACTGTTTGGTTTCTTGTAGACTCTTCCAAACTTCACCTGCCCCTTTCTTGTTGGGCTACCTCTCTCTCACTCGGAGACTGCCTTAGTTGTTTCCTGGATCCTTTGCTTTCTTGATGTCTGTCCTTCTTCATTGGAACCACCAGAGGATCAATAGAAAATAAATGTGTATGTGTGATGTATGCATGTGTATGTGTTCATATATATATATACTTACGTGTGTACAAAGGCATGTGTTTAAACATGTTTAAACATGTCCAGAGGTCAATGCTACCTTTCTTCCTCAGTAATACTCCACATTATTTTTTTGTGTGTGACAGTGGAAGCTTGCTAATTCAGCTAGACTGACTGGTCAGCAAACTATTGGGATCCCCTTGTCCATAGGCATGCAGCACAGTGCTCAAAAGTTTTCTGTGGGTGTAAGTATATGAACTCAGGTCTCATGCTTGCATAAATACTTTACTGAACCCTTTCCAAAGTGCTGAAAATAAATTTTGAAACCTCTTTCTTAAAAATTTCCTCTAGTCTACTTGTTCACTTCATTTTAGTAATTAATTAGCTATTATCCTTTAAGCTAAAATAATTTTTATTCTGCAATATGAAAACTTTGTTCTTTTGTAGCATTCAGTGTTGTAGTTAAAAGTTTCAGTACCTTTCATCCTTTTCTGTGAAAGCTCCCATTCCTGTCTGAGGTGTTAAGAAGCAGGTCATATAGCTCTGAAGACGTTTCCTATTAGGGATGGTGATACCTGTGAGCCCAGCCCTGGGAAAGCGAAAGCAGCATCGCATGTGTGACTTGATACGGTTTATATAATGGAACTACATCTGTAAGCAAACGAACAGTCAGCAGCTTTGTGCCACTGTTTGTGTTGTTTCTGATGATTTCATTCTTCTTTCTGAATCCCGTCCTGTGTCATGAGATGCTAGAGGACACCTCTAGTTGTCTCGGCCTTCTTGCCTTTATTTTCATCTGTATTTCCTCCACTTCCTGAATGATAGTTACTTTATCCCTAACCATTCTCTAGAATTTTGGGTTTAGTTTTGTTTTTTTTTGTCACA